TCTCATCCTCTTACACCATCCTCTTACCGTATACTCTTACCTCAACTTCTTGCCCCATTCTCTTATCTGATCCTCTTTCCTCAAAAACTTACTTCATCCTCTTACTTTATCCTCTTACCTCATTCTCTTACTTCGCCCTCGTACCTCATTCTCTGAAATTAATTACGTGATAACGTGATAACGTGATTACGTGATTGTCTGTTTCTCTTTAAATTGTTTTGATTGTATATTCCTCCATAAATTGTTGTGAGTGTATGTTCCTCCATAAATTGTTGTGATTGTATGTTTCTCCATAAATTTAAATTTATGGATTATTTCTTCATAAATGTTTGTGATTGTCTGTTTCTCAATTAATTATTGTGATTGTAAGGGTCTCCATAAATTTTTGTGATTATCTGTTTCTCCACCAAATGTTGTGATTATCTGTTTCTCCACCAAATGTTGTGATTATCTGTTTCTCCACCAAATGTTGTGATTATCTGTTTCTCCACCAAATGTTGTGATTATCTGTTTCTCCACCAAATGTTGTGATTATCTGTTTCTCCACCAAATGTTGTGATTATCTGTTTCTCCACCAAATGTTGTGATTATCTGTTTCTCCACCAAATGTTGTGATTATCTGTTTCTCCACCAAATGTTGTGATTATCTGTTTCTCCACCAAATGTTGTGATTATCTGTTTCTCCACCAAATGTTGTGATTATCTGTTTCTCCACCAAATGTTGTGATTATCTGTTTCTCCACCAAATGTTGTGATTATCTGTTTCTCCACCAAATGTTGTGATTATCTGTTTCTCCACCAAATGTTGTGATTATCTGTTTCTCCACCAAATGTTGTGATTATCTGTTTCTCCACCAAATGTTGTGATTATCTGTTTCTCCACCAAATGTTGTGATTATCTGTTTCTCCACCAAATGTTGTGATTATCTGTTTCTCCACCAAATGTTGTGATTATCTGTTTCTCCACCAAATGTTGTGATTATCTGTTTCTCCACCAAATGTTGTGATTATCTGTTTCTCCACCAAATGTTGTGATTATCTGTTTCTCCACCAAATGTTGTGATTATCTGTTTCTCCACCAAATGTTGTGATTATCTGTTTCTCCACCAAATGTTGTGATTATCTGTTTCTCCACCAAATGTTGTGATTATCTGTTTCTCCACCAAATGTTGTGATTATCTGTTTCTCCACCAAATGTTGTGATTATCTGTTTCTCCACCAAATGTTGTGATTATCTGTTTCTCCACCAAATGTTGTGATTATCTGTTTCTCCACCAAATGTTGTGATTATCTGTTTCTCCACCAAATGTTGTGATTATCTGTTTCTCCACCAAATGTTGTGATTATCTGTTTCTCCACCAAATGTTGTGATTATCTGTTTCTCCACCAAATGTTGTGATTATCTGTTTCTCCACCAAATGTTGTGATTATCTGTTTCTCCACCAAATGTTGTGATTATCTGTTTGTCCATCAAATGTTGTGATTATCTGTTTCTCCACCAAATGTTGTGATTATATGTTTCTCCACCAAATGTTGTGATTATCTGTTTCTCCATCAAATGTTGTGATTATCTGTTTCTCCACCAAATGTTGTGATTATCTGTTTCTCCATCAAATGTTGTGATTATCTGTTTCTCCACCAAATGTTGTGATTATCTGTTTCTCCACCAAATGTTGTGATTATCTGTTTCTCCACCAAATGTTGTGATTATCTGTTTCTCCACCAAATGTTGTGATTATCTGTTTGTCCATCAAATGTTGTGATTATCTGTTTCTCCACCAAATGTTGTGATTATATGTTTCTCCACCAAATGTTGTGATTATCTGTTTCTCCATCAAATGTTGTGATTATCTGTTTCTCCACCAAATGTTGTGATTATCTGTTTCTCCATCAAATGTTGTGATTATCTGTTTCTCCACCAAATGTTGTGATTATCTGTTTCTCCACCAAATGTTGTGATTATCTGTTTCTCCACCAAATGTTGTGATTATCTGTTTCTCCACCAAATGTTGTGATTATCTGTTTCTCCACCAAATGTTGTGATTATCTGTTTCTCCACCAAATGTTGTGATTATCTGTTTCTCCACCAAATGTTGTGATTATCTGTTTCTCCACCAAATGTTGTGATTATCTGTTTCTCCACCAAATGTTGTGATTATCTGTTTCTCCACCAAATGTTGTGATTATCTGTTTCTCCACCAAATGTTGTGATTATCTGTTTCTCCACCAAATGTTGTGATTATCTGTTTCTCCACCAAATGTTGTGATTATCTGTTTCTCCACCAAATGTTGTGATTATCTGTTTCTCCACCAAATGTTGTGATTATCTGTTTCTCCACCAAATGTTGTGATTATCTGTTTCTCCACCAAATGTTGTGATTATCTGTTTCTCCACCAAATGTTGTGATTATCTGTTTCTCCACCAAATGTTGTGATTATCTGTTTCTCCACCAAATGTTGTGATTATCTGTTTCTCCACCAAATGTTGTGATTATCTGTTTCTCCACCAAATGTTGTGATTATCTGTTTCTCCACCAAATGTTGTGATTATCTGTTTCTCCACCAAATGTTGTGATTATCTGTTTCTCCACCAAATGTTGTGATTATCTGTTTCTCCACCAAATGTTGTGATTATCTGTTTCTCCACCAAATGTTGTGATTATCTGTTTCTCCACCAAATGTTGTGATTATCTGTTTCTCCACCAAATGTTGTGATTATCTGTTTCTCCACCAAATGTTGTGATTATCTGTTTCTCCACCAAATGTTGTGATTATCTGTTTCTCCACCAAATGTTGTGATTATCTGTTTCTCCACCAAATGTTGTGATTCCCATATTGCAGCTCCTGCTGATCTGGCGCGTCTCAATGACGTCACCAAGCTGGACGTGCCTGATCTGAGCAAAGTGTTGGCGCCTCTGATCAACTAATCCATACCTTTGACAAAGACATAACAACTAGCCCAGTACTTTGACAAAGACATTACAACTAATCCAGTACTTTGACAAAGACATAACAACTAGCCCAGTACTTTGACAAAGACATAACAACTAGCCCAGTACTTTGACAAAGACATAACAACTAGCCCAGTACTTTGACAAAGACATACCAACTAACCCAGACCTTTGACAAAGACATAACAACTAATCCATACCTTTGACAAAGACATAACAACTAGCCCAGTACTTTGACAGAGACATTACAACTAATCCAGTACTTTGACAAAGACATAACAACTAGCCCAGTACTTTGACAAAGACATAACAACTAGCCCAGTACTTTGACAAAGACATAACAACTAGCCCAGTACTTTGACAAAGACATAACAACTAACCCAGACCTTTGACAAAGACATAACAACTAACCCAGACCTTCACAAAGACATAACAACTAACCCAGACCTTCACAAAGACATAACAACTAACCCAGACCTTCACAAAGACATAACAACTAACCCAGACCTTTTACAAAGACATAAAAACTAACCCAGACCTTTGACAAAGACATAACAACTAACACAGACCTTTGACAAAGACATAACAACTAACCCAGACCTTTGACAAAGACATAACAAATTCAGGCCTTTGACAAAGACATAAAAACTAACCCAGACCTTTGACAAAGACATAACAACTAACCCAGTTGTTACGCACTGACTTGTATTGGGAGAAATTAATCTCCTATTTTAATTTTAATTTGGCTCGATGTAAACAGTGCGTAACAAAGGAGGATACAATAGAATCAACAATATTAAAGATACGACCCAAAACAGTTTCTAGTTACAATTAATTAAGATTTATTATGTCTTAAGATAATTACAAAATAAAATAAAATAAAATTACAATCTTCAACTTACAGTATGGCAGATGTCGTACCGGTACACAGTTAATACAATTAGAAATAATGATGCCAATAAATAATGCGAAATAAACACATATAAGTAGGAGCACACAAATACACAAAGAATAAAACACGCCTCGTAATG